ATCGGAGAATTAGAAAGTAGTTTCGTTAAAAAGATACAAGTTTTTACGGCCTCTGACCAAGTTGAAAAGGACTAAGAAGTAGAATTTGTTCAGCTCTTAAACCCAAATGACCCCATTTCGGTATTACGCAAGGACCCAACGAAACCTACGCACGCAAACTAATACACCACAGCGGCCGTCATTAATTTGTGGTCTTAAAAATCAGACTAGAAGACCGTCTAAAATAAAAGTGCAGTCTTTCATTGCATAGTTTCGCCAACGACTGAAACTCTATTACAGTTTCTGCAACTCTAAATACTTTGCCCTTGTCTCCATTTAGGAAAGGCATATATCTGCAAAACTTTGTCCAAAGTTCTTAGCATATTCACAATAATGAGACCGATACTCATCATTTTCTACTCTTCGGGTCCGTAACACGCATTTGACTTCTCCCCTTAATTAGTTTGTGTACTGGCAGTCTTTTGTCTCGGACAATTTCTCTGCTCTCTCGTTTCCTTGCATTTCGATGACAAACAACTTAGTTAAAGGGCATGACTATCGACTGAGCCCTTTATCAGATATCACTGTTGGAAAAATTACAAGTTTTTAAGGTACACAAAAAAAAAAACACTGGAACACGTAAACTTAATATTGGGTCGTAAATTATGGATCTGTATACCATTCTTTCGGATCAGGTACAACAACAACATCAGCTAATTTTCCCAAGATATTTTATTTTTTATGAAAAACCCCAAATTTTGAGAAGAAAAAACCTTAAAGAATAATGCCGAATTTCCACTAGGCATTGAAATGACAAAAAATGTATGCCATTTAAAAAATGCCAAATGAAAATGAACTTAATGACTATTTTTTTTAATGTAATGGCTAGATTATTTTTTAAGGCCCGACTTTGTCATTTGTCATTTTTGCCATTTAATACCTAGTGGAAATCCAGCATTACACATCTTTTGAAATTTTTTTCCATTTGTACTGAAGCCTGTACTTTTGCGAAAAATCAAGCTACTGACGATGAACAAGGATGCATAAATAGACACATTTTTAATGGTCAAATCAAAATGGGCAGTAATTTTTTGTATGAAATAGGAGCAGGAAATAATGTTACTTGTACACCGTATCGTACATAGCCGTAATCGTAAATACTCCTACATGGCATATGAGTAACACTTTCCATGTTAAAATTTAAATTTTTTTCATGCAGACTTAATTTAAAAAAAAAAAAAATCTTGGGGAAAATGACCTCTTCTACAAAAACGACAAACAGATCCCTACAGTGTATTTTCAGCGCTTTAGAGTCAGAGCTATGAGAGTCAATTCTTATAAATTCGTTTTAAAGACTCAATCCCTTGTGGCGATAAATTGCTGGCAACTGTTGCTCTCGACATTCAGGGTAGGCATAATGGACCTACTGGATGTTCGAGCTTAAACTTCGGCTTGCCTGCGCATAGTGTACTGCCATTTAGGGATGTAGACATACAAACATTGTTCGCTGATGGTTCACTGCTTGGGCAACAGATTGCCCGATAGTGGGTACAACGTTACCTGCGTTGGCAGAAATGTGTGGTGTGGTGTAGGCCTTTTCGGAGCGATCAATTCGGTGTTCAAAATTCGAACTTGTGGCTAGTTGCATTGTACTCGTCGGCAATATTTTGATCCGTCGACGCATTTGGGGTTGAATTTCACATTCAGTTTTGTACTAAGCCAAAAATCTTTCGCTAACCGAATTAAAAAGAAGATAAAAACGATTCGCCACAGAAACGTGACGAGTCGACCATTACTACCACAGGTGAATATTTATCCTTGAGGCTCCGCTAAAATGCAATCGAATTGTCACCTGACTGCAAACCATCCAATAAGCGAGGAAACAAGTAACTCCCCAAATTAGATGGAGAGTGTAGATTCGATACATCCTCTTGGTCTATATTCATAGTGTTTGGCGGAAACTAGATCACCGCATGTAGGATTGCCAATTCGCACCACGGTTTTACTGTTTAGGCAATACAAAGTATGCTCCTCAAGTTTTTATATGGAAGAAAAAGCATAGCACCTCAACGAAAAAAAACTGCCAAAAATCAGCGGGATCTTTTAGGAACTTCAAACTGGCACTTTACTATACAAATTTTTTCTAAAAATTCTGAATAACGAGTTTTAAATTTTGGTGGAAAATTTATGAATTTTTATAATTTTTGTACAAAATTTAAAATTGTGAATTATGTGGTTTCTGCTAGATAGTGGGCTACACTTTTCTAAAAAAAAATATAAGCGCACCATATATGTATGTATTGACAATTTTTTTTTTTCAATTTTTTGGCCTAAAAAGAAGTCAGATTCAAACATTCTTTTGAGCTTGGGGCAATTTTTAATGATAAATTATTATGGAAAATAACAACAGTTTACATTTGTAAACTCTTTTTTCAAACTGAAAAAATTGTTAAATATAATTCATTTTTGTGTTTTTCAACTTTAATTATTTTTTTTTTTGTAATTATAGTTTATTCTTTAACAAACACATTGTGCTATATACAAAAAAAAAAACATTCAACAAACGTTCGTGAAAATTTCGAGCTTTATAATTAGGTTTTGAGTATACAGTTTTGTAGTTCGAAACTTGTCAATATGTGATGTGCCTATAACTATGACACGAGTCGTATTCCAATCTTTTTTTTTGTAGATTTTGTTTAAAAAACTAACACGTTTTCGAAATGTATTATTCACTAACACAACTTCCAACCCTACTTTTTTTCTGTTCGTCATAGATGGATATGCAAGAGCTGCTGCAAGAACAAATGCGCTCGAAGCTAATCAACAATCGCAAATCGGCATCGCCAATACCAGCCAATACAAGTGCAGCCTCAGCGCTGGCAAAACGCGTATCCAGCTACAAGTTCTGGAGCTTATTTCAACGGTAAATTGAGCGCAGTCTAGAAAATCTACGCTACTAAATATAATTATACTTATGTAAAAGTTTTAGTTTAATGTATAAATTCTTATATGTAAAAGCAAAATATTCTTTTCTTATGATTACTTTTTAATATTTATATACAAGCAGTAAAATAGCAAGAATTTATACAACTACAAGCATATGTTGTAACGGTATAAAAACAAAACCTTATGCATTTTTATACTTATTAACACAGAGTAAAAAAAAAGAAAAATTAAAAAATAAATATATGTACGATTATTTATAAATATACTTCATCTTATGCTACTTGCTGATTTTTGTGGTCAAAAAAACTGTTGGAGACGTGACCTTCTAAGGTTTATGTATCTCACGTACGCTTTATTACATTTAAATGATAAAAAAAGAAGAGAAAAAGAGCAGCAAAAAGACACTAATCGTGCACTATTTAATAAAAGAAAACCCCATACACTTTAATTATAGTTTTAAGTTGCAAAATTACAAAAGAAATTTACATTTAAAATTGTCAATAAAATAGTAGCACTTTAGTCAGCCGCATTCCCAAATCCCAAAATGACGTATGTAGATATCCAATGAATGTGTGCAACTCAAGCGCCCAAAGAACACATATCGCTTTGAACCCAGAGAGCAATTCTGCAGTAATAGTAAGGACACCTTTTAAATATTATGAATACATTTTTGATTTCAAACAATTTATTTAATAATACACTAACACACACAAAAATAAATAATAAACAAAAATGCATAATTATAAAAAATACTGCAATTTAACACTGTATGTATTAGTAAAAGTTTAAACATTTGAAATCTAATTTTAATATGTATCTATATCATATAAACACAGATACATGCTTATCTGTGTTAGTATGTACCTACAACATAAATTAATTGTAAGTCTCTTAAGTGCATTATACATATAATCACCATTTACGTTCGCTTAACGTGATTGGTGATGTGATTGGTTAAATGTTTGATTGATTGATTGATTGTTTGTAGTTGATGGCAGAACTGGCGGACATTTTTTTCTTTTAACCAGTAAAAACAACAACAACAAAAAGACATTTCACCAAATGGAAATGTAAAAATTACTGTACAACGTGAAAGTTAAGCTTTAATTTCACATACTTGCCTTAACGCTGACAATGAATCAAAATTTTAAAGTCAAAGCTGAAATCTTGTTTAAAAAATCAAATAAAATTGTGCAAAATTTTCTCTTAAGATTTGTGTAAAATTAATTAACATAAATATATCTACAAATAAATAAATAAATAAATCTTCTGATTTCAATCAAATAGGAAAACTAAAATTTAACGCTTTTTACTACAAATTAGCGTATTCGATTATTCGACTTTTTTTTGGAAACTGGTTTGTGAGTAGAGGTATGTTTACATATAAATATAATCTCAAATAAAGCTAGGTTTTTTAATCACACCGTTTACACAGGAAAATCTCAGATTATTAGCCGTGAAATTTGTTGTACTTGTTATTCTCACATCTCAAGAAAAGGTTATGTTTCTTCTCTGTGCCACTGTGATTACTTTTTTCTGCTTTATTAAGCAATTGAAATATATTTCAACTTAATATTTTATAAAAATACCTTTACAAACCTCTTTTTCTTGCTAGCGTCCATTTTTGTTTGCTTTTACATTTGGCATTTCTCTTCTTCTTCGCAAAAATAATCAACAAAACTAGATTGGCCACCGAAAATTTACCGATTTAATCTGAGCTTATTTTATAATTACAAATTCTCTAATCTCTTTTTGTAATTACAGATCAGGGTATTAAACCCGAAAATGAGGATAATCTACTTATATGTAAACCTAGTTTTAATTAAAAAAGAGCAATTTGAAAAACCAGTTCCTTATTTCCAAATTAAGAAAAAATCGGTTTTATTTTACATATTTTCTCTAGTATTATTAAAAAAAAAAATAGCAATTTGAAAAACCGTTTCCTTTTTTTCCAAATTAAGAAAAACTACTACGAAAAATAGAAATAGCTTTAGGCTTAAAATTTGCTTTGAAAAATTCCACAAATATAGCAATCCTTTACCACACCCAAATCCGGCGCTATTAGGAGAAAAAAATTAGTTTTTTCCTTTAGCTGACTCTTTGATATTAAATTTTGGAACGCGATGTTTTCTAGCCAATATTTTAGTAGATGATTCATCAACGTTCATATTGCTGATAACGCTATTTATTCAACGCTCAATGACACCAACGAAAAGTTTCACATTATGCATTGTCAATACAGTCTTAGAGCTCAAAACATTCAAGATGGGTGCATCGTTGCAGGATAGAAGTCTAAAAGTGGAATTTAAGATCAAAGTGTAAAAAATACATAGTTTGTGATACAAAAATCTCTGCAGATAAGGCAATTTAAAAAAAAAAAGCTAAACAAGAAAACCATTTCAACGCACTTGAATATATGCAATATACCCTGCAACATTTCATCCAAACTCGTATGTAGCGTTAATTTTCTTTCATTAGCCTCTGCGGCTGCTAGTTCAATCCTCTCCAGCTCACTATTAAAATAATCCAAAGCTTCGGTGTTCTGCTTCAACTCCTTTTCTTCGTGTTCCGCCCATTGACGCTCTGTGGGAAGAAAGAAACTCACTTTCATCGACCAAAAATAAATCTCTAAATAATTACCAATTTCTTCACTCAGCTCCTGTGTTGTATCATTCAATGCCTCCACTTCGTGACTAAGCTCATTGACATAGTTAAAGAGCGCGAAATTTTCCTCTTCTTGTCGCTTGAATTGCGCTGCCAAATTATCTGTGTCCTCCACTGCATATAACTCCTTAATATCATCTATGATAGCGTGTCTTCCTCGATCTGCCTTTCGTAGTTCTCTTTCAAAACGAGTTTCTTGTTAGCCTCACGTTGCTCCAACTCGGGATTGAGACGCTTTTGACCTTTTATGTCAAAGAATTTCTGCAGCTTGGCATCGTGTTCCAGCCGGCGTTGCATTTCACTATGGGAGAAGGGGGAAGAAGAAATGTAAAGGGTTCTCTGTAAAGGTTGGAAATTTGATCTACGAAATGTATAGATAGTTCTGAATTTTTTCGTTTCAGATAAAAAAATCGTCCAGAAAGCTTCTATTTCGGGCAGTCTGAAAGAGATTTAATGATATGTAATTAAAAGCTTACCCAAGCCATTTCAAAAGTCAAAATTTTGCACATAACACATAAAAAAGAAAATACTAGTGGCATACCGACCTAGCCCAATGTGTTGTCAAGAGTTTGGTGTTTGATTGGTCTTTTGAAGTCTTTGCAGTTAGAAAACTTCAGAAAATAGTGTGTATGTATGCATGGGCGTAGCCAGGTAGGGGCAGGGGGGTGCTCGAGCCCCCCCCCCTAACTTTCAAATTTTCCTTATATATATATAAAATAGTACCCTGAAATTCCAGCAAATGTTCTTTGGGGCCAACAATGTACAGATATTTGCCGAGACCACTACCATCTTCATAAGCTCTCGACCGGTGAATTCGAAGTCATCTACAGAGTCCGGTGAGAGTCGAGTCATCTACAGAGTTCGTGAGAACCACGTCTCTCAGGTACAGTTTTATTCTGATTATTGTAGCCGGCTTAGCTCCATTTGTTCCGATACCATTGAAACGCACTATCTTGAGGCTTTACTTCGGCTCAAACAATCTATGCAAGTTCTAATAAGATTTCCTTATGTAGTACATCTAATATAACGCCGAACAAGTGGCAACCCCGATTTGGGTGGCAACCCCGGTCTCCTCGAAATGGTGGTGGTCGAAAATGACAGTTCAACTGTTTCCGGTGTAATTGATTATTATTCGATTCGTGCGATTCTGTTCACATGTGAAAGAGGTTAATCTTTAAATAAATTTGTCATCTGAGCCTGATTACACTTAAAAGAACTCATGTAACTTTTTTCAAGTCTCCATGCAACTTTCTATACCGTCCTAATTTCCATTTTCTTCGAGCTCGATTCTGAGCCAATTGTTAAAAAACTCAATTGCCTAGTTTCCAGTATTAAAATCTCTCATTAATACTATTTCCCAGGGAGCACCGATCCCTCCGCCATTATGGTGTCCTCAGATAGGCAGATTACGTTACTAAATCCTGGACTTAAACCATAAAATAGTACCGAAATGGCTGGTGAACAAATCTCTGCCGATAAATTTGGAAGTCCACAAAAACGATATTCACTTCCAAGCGCCTGAACAATCGTCCTCTCAATCATCCTACAGAGTAAGGATGAGGGTATAGGCCTCAAGGGTGAGACATTAGTACACCCAACTCATTCTCCTTCACACGAAATCCAATTCGTTGCCATTATATGGAGATCGATATGTATGGTTACTCAAGAAGCCTAGGTATCGCTGAGTTTTAGATGACAGCAAAATCAAACATATCTATCTCATTAAATGAATAGCTGGTGATCTTTCATGCCTCTACGCTACAACGTACCGATCCTGCAGCATATGATTTATTGAGTCACGCAATTTGCAATTCTCTGCCAAGACATCACTACACTTCTTATTGAGCACATCCAGACGATTCTCTAACTTGACGACACTCTTATGAACTTTGTCAATACTCTCCTCGTAACAGCTATCGGTGACTTCGTTCTTACGCAGACCATCGATTTCCTTTTCTACCTGGAAAGTGTTTACATTTTTTAAGTTTCTTATTATTCGAACGAGCTTTTAGCTTGCCCCAAGGCTGACCTTTTTAATGTGACCTTCCAGCTCCCATATTTTGACACGTTCACCTAGTAAAATTTGCTGCAGCTCTTGATTCTGTCCTTGCAAAAAACTCAAGTGCTTTTCTTTCTGAAAAAAAAAACAAGAAACCAGCGTCAAGATAACGGAAGACGTGTTCAGATATAGGAGTAGCTTATGCCAAGAACGTCTTACATTTGTATTCTTTCTAGCATGCGCTCCACCCTCTAGTGTAGCAATCTCGTCTTTCAGCTTTTGATGTTCTTGTTGCAAAACCGTTATCATGTGATTTTGTTTTTTCAGCTGCTTAGCTTTTTCTTCAAGTAAGGAGCGTAGCTCCAACTGCAGGGAGCGATGCTGGAAAATTGTGGAATAGTACGAAGTTTTCAATAAAAAATAAGGTTTTTTGATCTACTTGTCGTTGCAGTCTTTCCAATTCGGCTGCAGCCAATTGATCCAACTCATTCTGGTTCGTCATTATGGCTTGAGGGGTAGTTAAATATTTTAAAATTTTCCACAACTAAAAACCTAATCAGCTTTTACTTCTGTACATATGTATATTTTGCTCTCGAATGTTTATCTTCCATAAATACATAGCTATTTTGGTTGTTAGGGTAACAAAGGACCGCGTAACGAAGCCAAGCAACGATAGCAACAGGTCTTAGTCGTGTGGATAAATAGCTTAGCATGCAGTTGGCAAGCAATTCCGAAAGACGGAAATTGTATCATGAAATTCAAATTTATTGTTGTAAAGCCCATTGTTCTATCGTCTCCGGTAATCTCCGCCACAAAGGGATAAGAGGCATAAGTCTTTGGCAATCCAAGGGCGGCTCCGTTAGCTTGGCCACGTCTTTTGAATGAACACCGATGCTCCAGTTCTGATAGTATTAAACTCGGAACTCGCTGGTAGCAGCGGAAGAGGGAGAGCCCTACTGCGATGGTAATACCAAGTGGAGAAGGACTACGTTTTACTTGACATTTTCAACTGGCGTCCTTTCGCACAGAAACAACTGGCGTGCCTTGTTGAACTCGGCCAAAGTCACTTAGGCAGTTACAGCACCAAATAAGAAGAAGAATCCGAGGGACGCCTCATCATATGTTACGAGGATCCACATCTCTACGCTATACAGATAGAGGGGAACAGTGTGATTTTCTTTAATCATGACAGAGTCTTACTAAGTACTTAAATACTTAAGCAGTTCAAGGTAACAGATGGTCAACGAAGACTCTTTAATTCCAAGTAGTCGAAGGTCCATCCTACTTCAAAGTTATAGCTATCAACAGTGTCTCCTTTGATGAAAGATCATTAGTTTGGCATTATTCGTTTACCACCAGGCCTACCCGCGTTCCGGTAGTTGAAAGACATTAGATGTCTCAAAAGCTTTCATTGGTGCTAGTACGAATAGTCATGGAATAAAGCACTAATTAGGTGGCGCTCTCACCTTTGCGGTACAAAGTTTCAAAGAGGTCAAAGGTGTACATGATGGGTTTCGGTTAGGTCACCGAAACAACAGCTCTTGGTAGGGTAAAACCCGAGTCATTCTGGTCGTAGAACTGGGTGTCGTTCATATATAAGGGGGCGGTCCAGACATACAACGACCAACCACTGGACCCGACGACGTACCGACGAGCAATCTACGACATTCATAGGGAGTCAATCAACTGCAAATAGAGACCAGTGTTACCCTGACCCAGTTAAGGTCTGGATACTGCATCCTCGACAACTACTTGTTCAGACTCGACCCCAACATCTCCAATGAGTGTCCGGCATGTGGAGACTCCCCGTACGACACCAACCACCTCTTCACATGCCAGCTCAATGCTACTCAACTAACACCCCTCTCCCTTTGGTCCGACCCTATTGAAACAGTCCGTTTCCTGGGCCTACCGTTAGTTGAACCGAAATAGGCGGGACTTAGTATTGTCGCTACAACAACAACCACAGGTCAGACTACAGCTTCGAAATCACGTCGATGACGAACCAATTCCGATGGCGAACGGCCCAAAAATACTCCGAGCTCTCTTCTCGGCACACACAACCACAACCGTGTGGTCACCGGGGTCTAGCAGGACGCAGTGGATGAAGCTACAGACCTTCCAAAACACAACACTCCGGACAGCTATGGGATGCCTTCTGATGACGGCAGAGACCACCTACATGACGAGACACAAATACTCCCAGTCAAGGAGGACAACACATTGATATGTAAGCAGTTCGGCGTAGGGTGTCACAGATGCGGGCAACGGAACATACACCTGATTGTTGCAGAGCCCTCGCCTAGGCACGTCAGAACGCATCTACACCAATTTGCGGATGAAGTCCAGACACAGGGAGTCGGTCTCGACTTACGCCAACTGCCGACCTGTGAATGCCGGTTTTGAATCACAGCCACGATACGTGGACGAGACAGAGCTTGGTTTACTTCGGGAGACTCGCACTACTATAGCCCAACTTCGCTCTGGATACTGCAGCAGACTAAACTCCTACCTGAGTGGGATAAATTCAAATGTGCCCAAAGAGTGGCCGGTATGTGTAGGTAGAGTCACCTCAGGCCTTAGGCCACAGGATCCCAGTTGTTGTTACAAACAAAAATTCACTAAAGAATCTTGGTGGAAATTACAGTCTTGGGCAGGGCCGCCAAGAGAAAATCCGCACCCGGTACTAAATATGTGCCTATTTTTCAAGATAAATCTGGTTTATTCGGGTAACGTTAAACCGCGACCGGTGTCCCGGTAAAATGTCACTTGACCTAAACTCAATTATAATGCAGTTCGCATAAAAATAAGTGCATTAAAAGAAATAAGAAAATAAATAGGAAAATTATCAGTTATCATTAAAAATAAATATATTCAATTTATTTAAAAACATTATTAAAATTTATTCTTCAAAAAATGTTCATTAAAAAAGTCGATGGCCCTGTATAATCCACCAGCTGTTGCAAATAAACTCGGGAAACAGCTGTTCAAATTCATTCGATATGTCAAAATTTCATCCGCCTATCCGCGAAGAGGTTATGTAAATTTTTAATAACAAATTGCGGAAAAAAATATTAAGAGAATCGTATAAATAAATTAAAAATGGTGTCACAAACCCTAGCACTGTTTGTAAGATCACGTGGACCAGATGAATTCTGGCGTAAAAGAAGAATCTTTAAGCTTGCGGCTGTAAGTACTGAATTCTGTAGCTTTCCCATATCTACTATTCGTAAAAAACTAACATGTTTAATATATCCTTCACTCGATAGCACTTTCGTGGACGTAAACGTAATTGCTACTCTATAGCCGTACGAAATGTGCACCGTGCCTTGGTATACGCCACAAAGGGGCGCAAATTGAAAAAGTTGGATATGGCGGAGGTGGGTAAAACGCATATTTCATCTTTAAAACTATTAATATTTTTGTAAACTAAATACCCATATTGCAGCTTTGGTCCAAACGTGTTGAAGCCGGCTGTGAACAATATGGCATTACATTGGAGACATTCAAAGAAACATTGTCCCGCAACAACATTTTATTAAACAAGTAATATTCCCTACTATTGGCTGAAGCAGTATTAAAAGCAACTGTGTAAATTTATTTAATATCTTTCAGGAAAGCTTTGGCTGACCTTGCAATTTGGGAACCCAGGTCTTTCGAAGCATTGGTGAAGTTATCAAGAGAGCGCGCGGTTGTGGAATCCCTGCCGGGCCTCAACGAGCGTTCGGTTATGAATCAAGTTTATGGCCTGGCAAACTTGAAACTAGATAAGTAAATAGATTTAGCAGATTTACAACTTCCACCAAGCTTTAAAATAGAAATAAAAAAAAATTTCAGAAACAAAGCGTAAAACCGTTTTATTTTCCTTTTAATTTTAACAAACATGTTTACTTGAGTGCGCAGACAAGTGAAACAAACATCTGTAAACTAGTCCACTGCAGTAAATGGAAATTACAAGCTAAGGAACAAACTACTTAATTGACCGTCTTATCGCTACCATCAGACGGCCTTACACTATCCACATATGAGGCGTGAGGATTCAACAATTGAATAAAAAAAAAAATATAGTAAAAAAGTTATTCCAACTTCGCCAAAATGTCTGATTCGCGGAAAAGAATGTATTCCTTCTTGTCATCTAACTCTACCTTAGTGCCACCGAATTCGGGCAACAGCACACGGTCGCCTTCTTTAACGCCCACTGGGATATAGTTGCCACTTTGCTGTTTGAAAAAAGAAAACATGGTTGTTTTAACTTTTCTATCCTCGTTTAAAGTACAAAACTGCCTATCAACAAAATGCAAAACCGATCAAGATAATGCAAAACCGCGTATGTGAGGTTGCATAAATTATTTTTACTGTAGAAATACTCTTATTTCAAAATGGCACTCTTTTAAATAAAGCAATCGAATTTCTGGCTAGTATATTTCAGGACGAATGGATAAAGTTTGAGCCAAGAGTTTGCGTAGGCAAATCCAATTTTTGCAGAACGACGATACGCGGTTTTGTACTTTAAATGACGATACACATGTGTATGTATGAAACTTATAGCGCATTAACTTACAGGATTTCTTGCACCAGGTCCAACGGCCACAACTGTGCCTTCCAATACCTTGCCAACCGATTTCTCCGGAAGCAAAATACCGCCCTTTGTGGCCGTCACAGCCTCGGCACGCTGAATCAGGATGCGGTCCAACATGGGCAAGATTTTCTTAATAGCTTGTGCCTGCAAAGAAATTAGTGAGTTTTTAGTAAGCAAATATTCTTTTTCATTGTGGTCTACAAAATGTATTGTAAATTTCGATTTGTTTCCATGTTACACAACAGCCATGTGAAATCAGCCCGACTGTGAAACCAGCTTGATGGCCGGCTGTAGAAACATCGAGAACGCATTTCAAGTACACTATAAATGTCACAATGTTCATTGAAAATGTTTAACTATTCACACTAACCATTATGTTTATTTATTTGCAATAACTTTTAAATGCAGCAATTAGTCTCAAAAACAGGAAAATATTCCTTTGTTCGCTGGTTTTTTTTTAATAAAAAACTTGCGCAGACACGTGCAGGACGTCTCAATTCGGCTAATCAGAATTTAATAATGATCGGATGAATTTTCTGTCTAAGTTATCGCGTTCCAACGATAACCCATAAATGTGCAGTAGATGAAACAGGGTTAACAACAGCTTTTTATTCGGGAGAAGTAGGGTTGTTCATGGAAATATCGCTTAAGTTTCGAATGGTATTTATAGTATCTATTACTACGTTTATACGTAAGCTATTTATTCGATGGTGAAAAATTCTTTTTTTATATTGCCTGATTATAAAAAGGCCATAATATGTCCATCGAAAAGGAAAATAAAGTTAAAAATGGCAACGTCTTGATTATAAAAAGGCAATAAGATGACCATCGACACAGAAAATAAACCTAAAGGCCTCACCAGATAGAAATTTTTTCTGCGCCACAGGGATGCTTTTGACTGACATCGAAGTTAACTCTGTGATTTTGAATAGAAGACGCCGCATTGGCAACACATGCATTGCTGCAACTGATAAAAGCTCTGATCCAATACTTTTCCTGAAAAAATCCTGTAAAACTGTCAAACAGCAAAATTACTCTCTGAAGTGAGAGTAAAAAGTGAGTAACAACAAAAAGTACGGGAACAAAAAACCCATATTTCATGTAAAAACGTCAACCAGTGATTGCTTGACACTTTTCATGATTTTACCAGAAGAAAAAGTTCGGGGAAAATCTTGCAACTTCATTCTCTACACAACTCTCCAAAAGTCGCTCTCATTTACAGGATTTTGGATAATTTCGGAGTACGGGAACATTTTTCCTGCAACTTCGTGTAAAATCCTGTAAGTTCATGGAGTACTGGATCAGAGCTAATAATCGCCCAACTCTCAAGTTTTGACGCGCGTGAATGCGGCAAAACAACAATGTATGGAACGATTTCAAACCAGCTGACGTTTGGCAAATCAAAATGAGCCGTTTTGTTTGCGGCAACGTTTTCATTGTGCCGCCTCGCCATGTTATGTGCGTCTTGTCAGTTAAAATCATTCCTGTGACGCAGTAAAGAATTTCTATCTGGCGGGGCCTTTATAAACCTCAAACCCTAGTGTGGACTGCAATAGTTAGTGATGTGGTTAAGTTTGATTTGAGATGGTTAACTTTTTGAAGGGTTCATGTTATTATACATTCTGCAATATTTCAATAGGAGGTATTCTCTGAGTCTTGCAAAGCCCTTGCATGGTGCACAGATTGCACGGTAAAAACCGGTTTTCGTATGGGACAGCTTTGCAAACCGTGCAATCCGTGCACCGTGCAAGGGCTTTGCAAGACTCAGAGAATACCCCTAATGTGTTTTGATAAAGATGCACTAATTTTGTTTTATTAAAACGAAGTCAAATAAATTTTTTCCTTGTGCGTCTTGAAGAGCTGCTTCTTAAACATATGACTGCAAATTTCTGTTGACGGTAATTCCGCCAGCAGATATTTGCAGCTCTCTCGGTTTTTTATGCTCTCTTTTTGGCTCTCTTCTGCAAATTTTTGTTTTAAGAAACGCTTTCCAGCAGAATCCAGTAAAAATTTGTGATAATTATCCGTTAAGAAACAAAGCAAATAGCTGCGTTTCTTTATACATTCCGGATAATCCGATTTCACAGCCGGGACAAACAGAATACGTTTGAAATATACGTTGGCATATCATCAGGAATATTCTAAAGAATAAGTAAACAAAAAAGTATTCATATGATACTCAGCTGTCTTGTAGGGTTGATACCAAAGGTAAATCTTTGGAGATAATGGCCCGTAGTCATAGCCAAAATAAAGTCGACTTTAAAGTTAGTTGCAGCTTTTTTGACAGATATCCCATTGAAAATTATGTCAAAAAGCTGCAACTAACTTTAAAGTCGACTTTATTTTGACTATGACTACGGGCCATTGCTGCAAGTATTGATTTATTAATGGACAAATGTGTACAAATTGTATGAACTTTTCTACTACCTTCTTTGAGGAAAATTTTCTACGAATCTGGCAGCACTTTCGATCAGCTGTTGTTTTGTTTATTTGGCCAGCCTTCAATTTTCGATATCCATTTTTTTTCAAAAAAATAAAATTTTGACTGAAGAAAAGGAACTATCCTTAATATACGAATTGGCACAAATTGGGCAATTTAAGGACTTACGAAAAGCAAAAACCAACCATAGGTATTCCAAAGCACAAAATAACGTGGTAACAAAAAGTTAAGGGAAGTGGAGCCGTCGGCCAGACTGTCAATCGTCAAAAGAGTGTGTCATGAACACAGGGCAACGACCAACAACCGTGGACTCCAAATTGTGCCATGAAGGGCGTTTGAGTTTATATTGCTATCTAGGTACAGGTTTTGCTGTATTTATTGCAACAGCTCCACAAATCTACTATGACACCGTACCAGATGTTTGGGGTGCTGTCATGTGGGGGCCGATCTTATACTATGCGTTAATTAATATGGTTATTCGTTATTTATTGCGCGACAACGACTATCAGGTGAGTCATATAAAGTGTATATCATTTAAAGTGTAGTACAAACTTAACTAACTTGCAGATTGCGCTACGCTCTTCCTTCTTGGGGTTTGTTGAAGCGATCAGTGTGCTTATAGTACTTTTTGCGCCTGGTGATTTAAAACAATTCGGCGTTTATGCATTCTTTATGGCATTTTTCCATTATTCAGAATTTCTAGCCATTGCGTGGTGTAATCCAACCAGCCTTTCGGTAGATTCATTTATATTGAATCACTCTATACACTATGCACTGGCAGCAGTGGCTAGTTGGTTCGAGTTCGGGCTAGAAGTATGGTTGCTGCCAAGTTTTAAAGGTTTCTATTACATTTGGCTAATTGGTGTGGTACTGTGTACAGTTGGCGAAATTATACGAAAAGTAGCAATGATAACTGCACGCAACAGTTTTACGCATTTGGTTGGTATAACTCGTCCTATTAAATACATGGCAGTGTCTACACACACGCTCCACGGTAACTTTCGAGGAAATCTACGGAAAAATTACCGCAGATCCACGGTAAAAATTACCGTAGGTCCACGGTAAAAATTACCGTAGATCTACGGTAAAATTACGTGGATTATGTGTTGCCTGAGAAGTGGGGCAGAACTTCTTTATGCGTAGGCGCTTAGGGATTATAACCCTTACTACTCATAATTCTCCTTTCTGTGTTGCCGGAGAAGTGGGACAAAACTTCTTTCGGCTAAGTTTTACCGTGGATCCACGGTAAAAGTTACCTTGGCGCCTGTGAGTAGACACTTCCTAAATACAAATGCTCATGTACATATTTTCACACCTTTCCCTTTGTAGGTGCAATACGAAAAAGCTGATAATCATAAATTGATAACACACGGCATTTATGCGTATATGCGACACCCATCGTATGTTGGCTGGTTTTGGTGGTCTGTGGGCACACAAATAATACTGCTCAATCCGTTATGTATATTGATCTACACGATTGTCTCGTGGAAATTCTTCCACGATCGCATTTACATGGAGGAAATTACTTTACTAAATTTCTTTCGCTCAGATTATCATAAATATCAGCAAAATGTGCCCACTGGTTTGCCATGCATTAATGGATATTTGCTGGACTAGTTGCAACCAACTGCTGAAGCAAGTGAGCTGGAGTTGCAACAATGTGCCGTGCAAGTGAACACCATTTCTTAAAGTAGGCTTATCAAAGATGCACTTTAACAGTAATTACTAAGTGTGTATTAAAAAGTAGTAGACAACTATGTATGTATTTATATGAGATTTTTTTCGTTTTTATGCAATAATCTATTGTAAGTAGCATTTTCTAACAAAGCATATATACATATGTTTCAACTAAAAATAAGTTGTTGAGTTGCTTATTTAGTTAATAATGAATTTTAACAATATGTATCTACATATGTACATACATAACTCATATCCAGCAGGGACTAAAAATTAATGTAACTAACTCTAAAAAATAAAATGTAAAACTTAAATGCCGAGCTGTATTTTGATAGAAACTTTATTTCTCTCTCTCTGTATATGGCTCCCGCCATACTCCAGTTATGGTCCTTAAATTATTCGACTCAGACGAGAATGATTGGCCAAGAACGATAGTAATCGGTATACGAGACGAGTAGTACGTTCATGACTGTTATAAACCGAAATATTCATTTTGACGTGACGAGTTGCGCGTTCACGACTTGTATGATTCGAGCGCCCAGGATCGCGAAGTTCGCAGGCCGTGACCTCGTTCGAGAAACGAATAACGTAGCTGGCGTTTTGGAGCGTGTGGGTCGATCTCATAACCGGCCCGACCCGGGAATTTACCGGAACGTGACGAGCATATGACTGATATTCTACTCCGTCCTTGGTTGATGCAACTTTCGTGTATATTTTGACCGCCGTACCCACGCTACTGGACAAGTGACCACCACTAGTCAGTAACACATAGCGGCAGCGCAGCCAATGTAGGCAAGTCCACATATTCGAAGGTTCTTTATCCACTGGAGGGCCTTCACTGATTTCATATGCTGAAGACTGCTCGCTATTGGTGTCAGCCAGAATGAAATTTAGGGGGGGGGGGAGCGGGGGCTCGACCCTATTAAGCTGGCATTTCAGGGTACTATTTTATATATATATAAGGAAAATTTGAAGGTTAGGGGAGGCTCGAGCACCCCCCTGCCCCTACCTGGCTACGCCCCATGGGCGTCAGGCTATGACGTTCAGGAATTACTTTTCTCATTTCTTCACTGTATGAATCCCATGCCCCTTCATTTTCAAAATAAACGGTCAACCCATTCAAAAAGGAAGTCAAACAGTATTTAGGCGTCCTCGTCGACGGCACACCTAGTTTAACGACGGCTATACCTTCTGAGATACTTCGCCGACCTAAACGGGGTTAGGTCGCCGAAACAACAGCCCTTGGTCGGGTAAAACCCGAGTCATTCCGGTACGTAGAACCGGCTGTCGTGGGAATGTTCCTGATCGGGAGCCACAGAAGTGGCCACCCAAACAGACAGCTGCTTGCAGAGGAGCCCTCGCCTAGGCACGTCATGAGGCATCTATATGAACTGACGGGCGAAGTCCAGAGGTTCATCAAGCAACCTCTGGACACGTCAGCTTACCGACTGGCCCTGAACGGCATTCACAGGGAGTCAGTCTCGAGTTATGTAGACTCTAGACCTGTGAATGCCGCTCCAGGCATACCGCCACCGGATATAGACGAGACGGAGCTTCATCTGCCTCGGGAGACACGAACGACAATAGCCCAACTCCGCTCTGGCTACTACAGCAGGTTAAACTCCTACCTGAGTAGATTGAATGAGGATGTGCCAAATGAGTGTCCGGCATGCGGAGAGACCCCACATGACTCGAAACATCTCTTCGCATGCCCGGAAAACCCAACAACCCTAACGGCTTTGTCCTTGTGGACCGACCCGATAGAAGCTGCTCGCTTCCTAGGGCTGTCGTTAGTGGAAGTTGACGACAACGACTGAGATATCAACCGATCTGGGCGGGGTTGTTGTAGCCGCTACAACAATAACACGGCTATAACTTTGAGAGCCTCCGCTGCTTCGAAAGACCCTCTTAAAGTCGGAATGCTTGACCCCGACATACCTTAGATATATTTGGCTTGTGAAGGATTTCCACATGGCACCACCTCTCCATTTACAGAGTTAAACCTTCATGGCTAACACCCTTATCTCTCTGACTTGACCACCTCAAAACAGTAAGTTTCTCGAGGCTACCGTTAGAAGAACTTGACAAGGATTGACTAGGCTGCCGAACTAGGCAGTACTCAGTAGAAAATCACTCTAAAATCTTCGGTCTGCTCTGTATTGTAGTTCGGAAAGAAAATCATTCGGATTCGAATACTTGGCACTATGAATTTGTATAATTCCGTGTCGGATTTCGAATCGCATTGAGTATCCAATCGCAATACAGAATAGAGCCCCTGGCTTTTAAGTTTGATCGTGTCCCTTCCTTATTGAATCATGCAACAGCGATAGGAATCAAAATTTGGAAGCAGAAAAAAGTCAACAAATTTCTTTCCGGCAGCAAGTGAAAAAAGACAGAGACCCAAACAGTGTCTGACAAGCGGATAAACACCCCACGACTCGAAACATCTCTTCGTATGCCCGGAAAACCCGACACAGCTAACGCCTTTGTCCCTGTGGAATGACACCATTGAGGCTGCACGCTTCTTAGGGCTTCCGTTAGTTGAGGTTGATGATAACGACTGAGATATTAACCGATCTGGGCGGGGTTGTTGTAGCCGCTACAACAACAACAAAATTGTCAAAACACTCTGACCCACCATGGACGCCCAGCGCACCAAGTCTCTACTTAATCTAAGGAGGCAGGACATTCGCATAGTGACTGGAGTTTTCACTGGATATTGTCTGATTGGATTACACGCACTTACACTGGGCGTACCCTGGAACGACTACTGCAGAAGCTGTGTTGATGAAGAGGAAGAGGAAACCATCACACATCTTCTCTGCTATTGCCCGGCTCTGTAAAAACGGAGAGCAAAAGCTCTTGGGAGATATTTCTTCGACGATCTCAATAACCTCAAAGCGGTGGACGTTAGAAGCCTATGCACATTCTTGCTAAATACCAAGTGGTTTACAGGGAAACGGGGCTAGTTAAAAAACCCCCATGCGGTATCACAAAAGTTCCTGAGTTTAATTGAGTCCTACTTTGGACTGCCGCCCAACCTAACCTAACCTAACCTAGTCTAGAGCTAAAGCCCCAAGAAAGCCGCAGTTCCGCAAGTGTATCTGCGTCACATTACACGAGGTTCATAAAGGTTTCTGTTGTTCAGTAAAATAAGCTGCTTGGCCTTTAAGTGATAGTTTTCTTAAATTTTTGCGTGGGACACATACAGTGCGGAGTCGCACCCTGCTAGTTCGTCCGCTGCCTCGTTTCCGTTAACGTACCCATGTCCCGGTACCCATATTAGGGTAATTTCAGAAATTTAGATGAATATTTGGGAAACAATTATAGGTATTTTTTCAAGAGATTTCGCGCTAAATTTCAATGGTTGTAAAAAAAAAAAAACAAAAAAGCAATATGCCAAAACCATATGCATTTATTTTAAAATATACTAATATATGTGCAATAAATATGCAAAAACAGGTATTTTTTTTCAAAATGTGCAAAACCATGCATTTACTGCAAAATATGCAAAAATATGCACTAAAAGCTAACTTAACCATTTCCTTTTGAAGATGCCGTGTAAAAACATGCATTTGCACGAGATTCCGAGCCCTAAGGATAAGTAACACCAAATTTCTTAGAAAATGCTGCCAGAACAATAAAAACACACATTAAGATGCATGCAACAGTCTAGAAAAAATGGCAGCCCCAAAAAAATTAATTTCTGTACGATCCACCTTACCGATGCAGATTCTCCTGTGTATGCACGAGTTTTAATTTCGTGTTCGAATAAGACGCTAACAATGTATTTTTACAAAAAATCATAGTTTTTACTTTATTAAATATTTTTGCATTAACATGGCTTTTTGTCTTACAAACGTGTTTGCATTTTTACATACATATGTATTTTACACAGTAACTATATAGTAGATATTTATGCATGCATATTGGCAATAAATTAAAAAATACAAAATAGGTTGTTTTTAACTTAAAGCTAAATTAGCATAGAATGTTTTATGTATTAGTGTGGAAATTAGAATTACATATAACAGAAAATAAAATTTAACAAATCAAACGAATTTAAATAAAATGGAAAATTAAAACGATTAAAATTTCGAATGAAACCTTTGCTTTGTGCGCGGAAAGTTTTAAAGCTCTCAGTGCCAAGCGATCTACTAACAAACACATTAATAAATATCTAAATGCATTTGTAGTGAGTGATTACATCAATTTGAGTGCTGCTAACATTTTTTTTTTTGTGGCTAAAGATGCTTTTCGTAAAAGTTGCAAGTTACTGTTTTTGAAAAATAGAAATTTCTAAAAGATTTGTACGCCTATGTGCGCGCATTTACTTAAACACAAGACAAAATGCATTAACACTGAATGTAATATGTAATCTAAAAGCTTCAAAATGCAATTTACAATTAGAATGACAAAATAGATTTGACTAAAAGTTGATTTCTAAATACATTAAATGCGTTTTTAAGTTGTTTTTTTTTTACTGCTGACGATCTTTTTGTGTTTTGTTTTTAATGATATTGTGTTTTTGTTTTTTGTAAACTCTAATATGCTTATTTTGGGGTTAATCTATATTGTGTAACTACGGTGGTTTTAATGCTAACATTTTTTCAAATCTCAACATTTTATTTTCAAACAAAATTTTCTTGCCAACAAACTTCTTACATGCAACTAGCTTCCTTGACACACATAATAAACGCGCACGCCTTAATGTGCTGCCTTAATGTGTTGCAGTGTCACCGTAATTCTGCTTACATATGTAACTTCTTAATTAACCTAACTCAGAATAGGCCTTACAATTTTATAACATTCAAGTGTATTTTAAACATTTCATGTTTGTGCTTATTTTGTTATTATTTAAGCAATTTCGCTTTTTTTGCTTTAGGATTATTTATTCCTTGACCTTCAGTCTTCTCTGTTAGTTCTATTGCAGCGTATGTTAATGCATGTTACTTACATTAACATTCGCCGACGTATTTATGCTAACTTCTCTGTTAGTTGCATTTTCATTTGTTTTCAGCGCTGGTAGCTACATTTACGCATGCCAACTGCACTAACTTCTTAGCTGTTTAGCTGTCAGCATACATTTTTGCGTTAAAATCGCTTTTTTTAATTGCAGAACTAAATTAAATTGTTAAAACAAAAATATCTTAAAAATTACTTAGATAGGGGCCAAGATTTTTATATTTTACTCGGCTGTTCATGTTCGTTTCGAAACAAGAGATGGGTGGAGAGTGTTTTTATAATATCTACGCAGATGTTAACAAAAAATTTAATTCTATAAATTGAGATTTAAAAAATTTTTCACAATTGATTTTTCAAGAATTAAATTTTTTTTTTGTTTTTTAAATTAAGTATTTGCTTTTCAAAATTTAAAATTTCAGTTTAATGTGCTGTCTACTAAAAGTGCATTCAATTAAAATAACTATATAAAACTGCAATGAAGCAAAATTGAGTATACGAACTTTTACAATTATTTAAAACAACACAAAAAATAATAACAATTTTGACGCACAAATATAAATATTACAGTTTATGCGCATAATCTACTACATAAACAAAATTTACAAATCTACAATGAATTTAATTATATGTACGTAAATTCTCCTTTGTAGAATTATTAAACGCAGCGAAGGAGTTAATTTATTTTTTTTTTAAATTTTTGCTTCCATAAATTAGCGTCCTTTTCAGACGCATGCATCCATACTTAATTTTAGACTTAATCGTTAAGAGACTGTATGTATGTAAGTATGTATGTAAATATATATGCATATGTATGATTATTCAACATGCGGTGTATGTGTGTGAATGTGTTTTGCTTGTGTATTGATAGTAACTAAAGTTATGCAATACTTTTCAATAAACAAAAAAAAAGAACAATAATTTATGTTGAAAAGCTTTAATACGTTCAACTCCTTCTTCTTCTTCTTCAGCCACTTCGCGATCTACTGCGCCGCGAAATGCTTCTCTTCTCACACCACAATCCATCTGCCTGCATGCATCCCTGTTTTTTTCGGTTTTCCTTTAGTAGGTGTTAGCCAAGAATGATAGAATACAAGATTGCAACCTTTGTATTCTCTCAATCGTGGGTGTTAGCGTTAAATCTCGACTTTGCCTTAAACAGCACCATTCACTGCTGCTGCTTGTGACGTCGTGCTCGCATTCTTGCCCTCCAATTCGGCTTGTATCTCATTCAAACTCTTGCCCTTCGTCTCTGGCACAATAAAGAATACAAAGAAAACTCCAATAATGGTAATCGCCGAGAAGAGCCAGAAGGTTTGTCCTTTGCCCAATGAGTCACTTAGATTCACAAATGATTTTGTTACAAGGAAAGCCAAAGCCCAATTAGTTGTACCGGCAATGGAACCAGCCACTCCCTTAATATCGGCCGCAAATACTTCACCCATCATCAACCATGGTACTGGTCCGAAGCCGAGTGAGAAGAGTACAATAAAGACGCACAAGCTGACGACAGGCAACCAACCGAGCGTGGCCACTGAATTGGCATCTTGATCCTGCATGTAAAAGTAGACACCCATGGAAATGGTAGCGAGTGCCATAATAAGGCCTGAGGTGAGCAACAATAGACGACGTCCCAGCTTGTCAACAACAATTGTGGATACAAAAGTGGCGATGAATTGCATTATGCCGACGACAATGGTTGAGAGGTTAGCATCGATGCCGGTTTGCGCATCCTATGGGGGAGAGGAAGTGGAAGCAAGAGTTATTGAATTGAAGTAAAAAATATGGGGAAAAATGTGATTTGATAAGTGTAAGTATGAGGAAAGTGGTGGAGAGCTGAGAGGTGGCGGGATCAGTACTTTAACTTAAAATTAAGCTCAAGCTCTGTTTAAGTCAAATTCACAAGATTCTACAGACCTTTGTTGATAGTTAGTGATGCTTAAGGCTCAAGTGGTTGGACTTAAACTTTGTATATGACCTAATTATTATACCTATTTCCAAACACTTTTCGGGTTCAACGAGTTCGGCTATCTTGCTACAGGTTTTATTAAGTTGAGCAGTATGTCTTTAGAATTGATGGATTTTGGCACAACTTACCGTCAGCCCTTAGAGCTTTTCAAATGAAATCGCACCTAGATCTAGGGACGGATACTGGGCTGGCCAGAAGCAGGTAGCAGAAAACAATCTTGGAAAATAACTTTTGACATCAATACCGCCCAAAATGCGGGTTCGTTCATATAATTTTGCAAACCGTAGCCGGAAGAGTCAAATAATATGTGGACTATAGAGCTCGCTTGCTTGAAATGCACGGAAATCAGATAAAATAATGATATAGAAACTTTCTGCGTAGCATTTACTTAGATCACAGCAGGAGTTTACGTCCGTCGCCTTCAGCGGATCTATTGGACTTGAAATGCAGTACACCTCTATGGTCTAACTTGGTCCGCGAACCTTGTCTACGGAAAACTTTGTGTACTGAGAGTGTTTCGCAAGCCTTTTTTCTGAACAAAACGCAACGTTTCTCAACTCCCAATGATCAGCTCGCCTGAAGAACAACATAATAACCTAATACGCGCTCGCAAAGGAGCCGGTTTCATGAACCAAAAATTCCGCATAGTCCGTACTTTTAAGTAACACAACTTTTAATGGAAAATATTTGCAAGCATCAATAGAGTCTGTGGGTTTTTAAGGATCCCATGAGCTGCACACATGTGTGGTCTCGTTAAAAAATAAATCCCTCGTCCACTCTCTCAACTTCACTTTCTTACATTGCTTTTCCACTTTTAAATACTCACCTCGAAAATTTTGGCCGAGTAGAAAATGACAGCGTTAATACCACATAATTGCTGGAAGAACATGAGGCCCAAACTGATGAGCAAAGCCTTTCGTGTGACGGGACGTGACAGACCCACCCACCAGGAAACCTGATTCTCATTAATCTTTAGCTGGGTTTCGCGTAATTCTTCAATTTCAGCCTTATATTCATAGTCCTTGCCACGTAGCCATTGAATGGATTTGATAGCACCTTCATCCTTATTTTTAATAACCTACACATAAAAAAAGAAACAAACATTGTATTAGCTAAATAGGTGTCGCTCAAAAATTCAACATTATTTTTTAACTATCTAACTAGGAATTAAAGTTACTCACCAAATATGTGGGTGATTCCGGCATGAATACGAAAATGATACCAAATACCAATGGTATCACACCGCATACGATGCTCATCCAAAACACACTCAATCCCGCACCGATGGCATACACAAACAATATACCCGCCGTTATCATAAGTTGAAAGAAGCTACCAAGCGTGCCACGTATCTCCTTCTGCGCTATCTCACCCGTATACATAGGTGCGGCTACACAGAATGCACCACCAGCAATACCCAGCAGGAAACGAGCGACAAACATCATGGGCACATTTTGCGCCCAAATTAGCAAACCCCAACCTAGAGTGAAGGGCAGCACCAGCAACAACATTGCCAGCTTACGTCCCACCAAATTGATGAGTATACCAGTTGGTATGCAAACGAACGCCGCACCCAATGTCATGGCCGAGCCAACCCATGAGAATTCGCTTTTCGACACTTCAAAATCATAAGCGCCGTTATTGATCTTTACTTCGGCGGGTGATGTCCAGCCGAGCAGTGTACCAGCGGCAAATGCGCCACCAGCAGCTGACAAAGCGGCCACATATTGTGGTAGGGTCTTTGAGTTGCTCTCACTCGTACCGTGAACCATGCTGCTGCCGAGTAGGTTTTCTTGATCCTGTGGAGAAGAAGAATAAAAGAAAAATAAGTAAACAAGTTGCAAGTAATTAAATTTAGAATTAAATTGCAAATGGTAAATGGTAAAAGTCAAAGTCAAGTGCGCAAATTGTGTTGCGATAAGTCAACTTGACAGTTTCATCCATCAAGATAGATTTTCGCTTTAAGGCTATAAAATTGCAAGCTATTCAGAAAAGCAAGCTGTCGTAAACCAAGCTTCATCGCAAAAATGGCAGCTGGAAGATAACAGCGCCACTTTGCAAATTAACTTTCATAGGCATTAATAAGAGTAAGCTTGAAATTTCTTACGGGGAGGCCTACAACGCTGCAGGCAGATTTTTGTCCATTGAAGAAATTCAATGCACTATGGTATATTTTTTCTGAGTTCTGATGAGATAATCGAAAAAAGACACCCTTTTTACTGTACTTTAGGCAAGCCTGGATTCAAGAGTCTTTAGTGAAAAGGTCAACAACTCGCTGGTAGTGGCTGATACTGGCAGATGAGCCAAGGGAACCACTTGGAATATAACTACTCAAGCAAATGGATGAAACCAAAAGTCAATGTAAGAAGTATGGCGATGAGTTTAAAGAAATTACCCTGAGCCTATGGGCTTTTAAGAGATATCTTAGATCGTCACTGGTAGATGCATTTGACAATAGCATTGATTTTCCATGCAACGATTTTTCTACAACACCACTATTCGGCGAGATGGTTTTAAACTCAAAAGCACTAAAAGAATATATAGATAAGATTGTGCTCTGCTGCTGTTGTCAGATGATTTTTTCTAGATTTATTAAACGTATACATATTTACATCAAACTGGCAATTAGTTTAAGAAGTGTGCTATTTCCTTGAGGTCATACACTCTTATCTCAGCATCTTGCTTATCTGTAGTTCAATACTGGTTCAGCATGTGCTTTCAAGAATAAAAATTTCCATTATATTTATTCAATTATCAAAAAAAAAAATAAAATTAAAAATTTAGTCACAAAAATACACTGGGTAATTTTCCACTATTTGTCAAGTACACAGAAAAAGAATATTTAAAGTTCTTATTAATTTTTTAATTTATGCAAGAACAAAGCCTGTACGGCTGCATACATACATACACATGTACATACATATGTATACAATTCTATATCATGTGTACATTGTTATATATGTACATAAGTCAGCTCTCGGCCCCCCAAAGCGCTCTTTTCTTATCAACAAATAAGAATGACTAAAAAAACTTGCAAAAAAGCTAGAGAGAGGGCTCGCCGCCCTCTCGCTTTCGTTGGCGCTCTAAACATACAAATACATACACACACAACGTATACGTACATATTTATATATACATATGTACAATATAAAAGTGCTTATGCAATTGGAGGCCCGCCAGCTAACCAACACCATTTAGTTGATTTGATTGTTGTTCTTATATGTATGTATGTACATCTACAACTTTTTGTTTTAGCTTTGGAACAAACTTGCGTTCGTGTTTGTGGTAAGGTGTTAAAATCGATAAGTGAGCAACATCTGAGCGCAAAGGTAAACAAGTAATTTTTAGCAAAAAAAAAACCGACTTCAACTCTCATATAAAAAAAAAAATATATATATATATATATCTCATGATCCACTGATCGAATCTTAACCAGATATAGTATGGGATCACCTCTGAGACACTACCTTTCCGATGCAAAAAGAATTCTCGAAATCGGTTGACGTGGTCCAAAGTTATGCGGTAACATATGTACATAAAAAAATAAAATAAAAAATAAAAAAAAATATTCCGACGAACTGATAAGCTCCTCCTTTTTTGGAAGTCGGTTAAAAAGGAAGCGATAAGAAACTTTAAATGTACTAGGTATACATACATACATATATGTATTGCATTTCATCGAATTATAAGTCCCCGCATCATTTTGAGCAATAAAAAAGTTTAGTCAGTTACGGCTTTTTTTGCGTAAAGAGCAAATATTTATCAGTAAAAAATTAATAATAAAAAAATGAATGATTGTGCCAAAAATATGAACATACGGTCACACGTTATGCATGCCAAATATAAATATTCAAGAATTTCGACAGAAATGAAAAAAGATAGATTTTGTAGAACTCTTATTTGAAAAATTTATTTTTATGGCCAAAAAAACAAATATTTTTTTTAGCAAAAAACAAAACCGACTTCAATTCTCACATAAAAATTTTAAACCAAATTAGTAGGTATGGGTACTTTAAAAAACATACATAAAAAAAAATTATTATTCCGTTGAATTGATAACCTCCTCTGTTTTTGAATTCGGCTAAATAGAAATATGTATAAGTGATTACCAGAATAAAAACGATAAATTTATCGATAGCAAATCAATACTGATATTATTAGTATACAAAACAGAAACGATAAAATATAAGAAAATTTATTTTAAAAACATCGATAACTTAACAGTGTCGATAACGATAATTACCGATAAACTATCTGTTATGACTATCATATCGAAAACGATTGGTATAATGATAACAAAAACTGTTAGCGATAGCGATAACAAAGTCGAAAACTTACGATAATATCAATAGAAATATTTGTATCGATAAATATAGCTTAAATGAATTTAGTGGATTGGAATAGGCTAAAATTGATGATTGATTTCAAAAATATCGATAACTTAATAATGTCGAAAAACATAAACATATCGACTATGATAATCATATTGATTATGATGATCGAAAACGGTAGGGATAATATATATAAGCGAAAATTATTTGCGATAACGATAACAAAATCTATACCTTTTATAACATCTCTAGAAGTAAGTTTATCAATAACTGCATATGTACATATGTATAACCTGGATGAATATGAATAAATTAATTGGATGGATTTTGAATAGGCTGGAAAATTATACGAAAACCAAAGTACTGAGGCATTGATGTCATGGTGTCGAAGGTAAGGTTTCAAACTTCCCGGTCTGCATAATGCATCTAAGATAATTGTTGTTGGGATAGAGATCTATTAAAAATACATCTGAGTAAATATTTTCGTCTTCGTCTAGTGAATGACGCGTAAAAAAGTGCTTTCATTTGTGCCTACGGAGACCATTAAAACCACTTGCCTTGTATTACTAGGGATGCTAACGATATGTCAAAGAGCTTTGAATGAGATATGATCTAAAGAAGAGTCACTTTCTACCTAATAACTTTATCTCTAAAAATATAAACATAAGCAGAAGCAGTCTACAAATTGATGATACAGAAAGTCAAACACGTTCCTCAAAAATGTAATAAAGATTTCGAAAAGATAAGAAAATCTTTTGAGGTGCGGCAGTTAAATAAAGAATAAGCCTAAAATATACACTATCGCTAATTTTTATAATGGTATGTCTAAACAACTGATATACAAATTTGCACGAGTTTTTTGTATAAATAGAGATGTGTGTACATATTTATTAAAATATGAATGCATGTACATTAGACTGCATCACCAAAAAAAAGTTTCGGTTTTTACGCCGGGACTAGAAAATTTATTCTATTTTAAGACGTCCACCACAATATTTCGGAAAAATATTAAGATTTGAGTGAGCTGGATCGATTTGAAAATACCTCCAAAAATTGAGTTTTTTATGAATAAATATAGTTTCTTAAAGAACTTTACTTTTTTATTTATTATTAAAGAAAAAAGTCCCTCAGATGACAAAGCAGATTAAGCTTAAAAAATCTGCATAAAAGTATTTAAAAATCTTTTCAACGGAATCGTAAGAATGAAATTTTTGATGCTGTTTTTTTACTTTTTTCAAAGCTTGATTTACGGAAAACTTGAAAAACTGGGCCGAAACTATTCTGATTTAGACTTATGAGATCTCAGTAGAAAGGTATTTTCACACTGTTTTTATTTCTGTCCAAAAAAAAGGCATTCGAGTCCCAATTTTTCTCCCCCCAAATACCAACTTTGAATTACGTTCGTTCATCCTACCTTTCTCTTTCATCCATTGAATAAGTTCATTAGCAAAGAAATAAAAAGGGTGAGAAAATATTTTCCAATGACACGTCTTTAGTCTAAATCGAAAGAGTTTAGGTTCAGTTATTCAAGTTTTTCTTATACCAATCTTTGAAAAAAATCTGCATAAAACTATATATTTTTTTAATTTTTTTTTAATATTTTTATGCAATTTTTTTAAGCTTAAGCTTTTAAGCTTGTCATTTGAGGGGATTTTTTCGAAAAAAAACTTTAAGAAACTATTTTTATTCATAAAAAACTACATTTTTAGAGGTATTATCAAATCGGTCCAGCTCACGTAAATCTTAATATTTTTGGAAATACTTTGGTGGACGTCTTAAAATATAATAGATTTTATAATTCCAATGGAAAAATAGTACCGATTTTTTTTGTATGGAGAGTGATGCAGTCTAATGTTATAAGTAGGTATCTAAACAAATATAAATATGTATTAAGTACAAAGGTAAAGTTTTTAAAGAAAGATATATACATGTGTATATACAATAAATATGTATGAAATAATATCAAACTGGGTACCGTTGACGCAAATCAGCAATCACACGGTAATCATCCATCATAGATACTAAAGTTATCGGGTATTAAAGCCAAAGACGAGGAATCGAAGGAGGGTGAGTGAAATTTCGCTTAATTTAGTAATTGGAAATCGATTGACATTGATAAGAAAATGTGTGTACCTACTAATTACATATTGTGTACAAAGAATTTATGGAAAGCGGTACAGTTTCTAATAAAATGAATATTGATAATGAAAAAAAAAATACATTCATACATACATCCAGTAGTGAAAAGAGCAAAAGCAAGCCAGAATTAAACTTTCCAGACAGGCAAATGTGAAACAATACATTTAGAGAATTTTGCTTCAAAGACCAGGAAATGTGCACACGAAAACGAAGGAAAGAAAGAAAGTACACAAAGCAATAACAATTGCAAAACGAAAAATGCATAATTGCGCTATTCTTTTAAACTAAGAAAACTAATTTTACAAGAAAAGTGTAAATATACATAACAC